AAGAGTTGTGATATTAGCTAGCTGGAGATAAATATAAACTAAGTACATGGGACATCTCAAAACTGGATGAAGACAAATGTTCATACAGAACATCACAGGTTAGCTAAGTAACAGCTGCAAGATGGGCCATGACACAGGCTGGAGTTGTGATYGTGACAGTGGAAATAAAGATGTTGGGATAGAGAGAAATAGGATATTAAAAAAACAGGCAGACAATGGTCTGCCCTGATGATTTTAGTGGCTCAGCTGTGCTAAGAAAATGCTTCCAGCACAAAGCCAAATGTTGGTAAAAAACGAACACACTTAAAAATATTAATAAATGAAGCAATGGTTTACCTTCACTGAGAGTATTTTTCCAGATGGCAAGTGTATTTAATGTTTTAGATGTTATTATAAAACAAGATTTTGCAAAGATACGAAATACTGATTGCCCAGCTTTGATTTAACAAACCTATGTGCCTATCCAACCTTTCTACACTCTAGATCACAATGTGACTTTATCCAACAGACACATACCACTACTGTAAGAATATTATGTAGTTCATAAGATGAAGAAATGAAACAARGTTCCTATGGAAAGATGATGTACAATGATGCCAATGCAAACAGATCTAGGAGGACAGGATGAGGGACTTCTTGGCATTTCTAAAATAATGCCACCATTGTACTTTTTTAATCTATAAGACATTTGCAAATACATATATTGTTTAATATGCCTCTTAATTACTATATAAACTTTAAAACTATACAACAAATTAGATTCAAAAAAGATCTTGACAATGATGCCAACACAGGGGGTAATAAGAAATGTAATAAAGATACTCTAAACAGTATCTTAAAAGTCTTTGCTTCTTTTGCATTTACAAAAGTAATTTTGGAAGAGACAAGTTGCCCCTAAAAAGGATGTGTGCCATATGGTTATACTAATTTAGTATAAATTTAGTATAAATTTAGTATAACTAATTTAGATATTTTTCTTTTTTCTTTCTTTCTTTTCTTTTTTTTTTTTTTTTAATTACCAACCACCCAGTAATGTTTTTAGTCAAAATTATTTGCAAGCTAGTGAACTACAAAACCAGCATGGCTCCTTTATTCTGGCACAGATCACATCTTCAACCTGAAACTATGGTAATTTTCTTACCACTGTACTTCGATATTTAATTTGCAGGATGCTTAAAGAGTTTCTTCTGTTTTCAGTGCAGGCTAAGATGAAAAAATTTTGGAATTTTGTGGATAAATTAGAACCTGTCCTGTCAAAGAATCACTAATGTAAGAGAGAGATTAATTTACATTTGTGCCTCAGGTCTTCTGTTCCCTAGGTCAAAAAAGTCTAGACATGGAGCCAGATAGTGGTTTTTAGTACCTCAGGATAAGAAATACCTTATGTTATTGAACAGGAGCTCCTTAACAAATTAAGGACAGTTATCATGGAAGTCTAAAGGTGTTTCATCAAATACTAGTTATCTGAAAAGACATTAAATCATGTAGAGTCAAATAAGGTTTGTGCCATGTGAAAAAGGGACATTAAGAGATTAAGAATTAAATGGGAAGTAGCTGTAAAGCCAAGGGAACGGGGAATCATTCAAATCCTTTCAATCTCCCCAAAGAAATACATTCTTGATGAGGTTTCTTGTGAATGTGACTGGGATTATCTCTCCTTTCAAACAAAAAGATCRGATTTTTATTGGAAATCACTAATATGCCACAACATGACAAAAACATCTCTGCTTCCTTTTCCCTCCACAAATAAAAGCAAGCCAAAAAGAAAGTAAAATATCAGAAAATTCACCAATGAGACAGCTTTCCTTTGCAACAAGAGAAGTAAGAATACAAGATAAACTCTTGGGGCAATTTAGAAAGAGCAGTAAGGTAAAGTTTTATAGAAAGTTTTAGTTCATATCAGCTCTTATAATCTGAGGCTGTTAGCTTATCCTTTGGCCATGACAGGTGATCTGCAACTCTAATAACCAGCAAAATTCTCTTTATGGTGAAACTTTTGCAAGTTCCAAGAATTGGAAGAACAGTTATAGAAACAAAAAGACTTCTAACATCGACTCATGATTAAAATGATCTGCCTAAAGGAGTGTAGCAAAGATAGAAAGTTAGATGAAATGTCACAGCAAGTTACTCAGGAACGAAAGAACATGAAACTGGCCAAAGTTTAAATCTGTTAAACACCAGAGAAATCACAGAAGTGCACCTTGGCCTTGATTTATGTGAAGTGAAGGATTAAGGGAGACTGGTAACAYAGCTGGTGGCATTATGGATCCTCGTAGTACTTAAATGATATGCATGAGCTTTGGAAAGCTTTAAAAATATATTTTAATACACTTTGTCATTATTGTCTTCAAATTTAGCTCCTTTTTCAAAAAAGCTGAAGTCTTTGGCTTGCAGATGTTCCTCTGTTTCATGTCAAGGAGTAAATTAAAATTGAAAAATTATAGTGTTGTTTTGTCTTTTTTTTTGCTTTCATTTTGTGCATTTTCCTCTTAAAAATGGCATTTTCTATTTCTCTACGTAGTAAATACGCAACACATTAAGAGGCAGATGTACATCTATACCAGGAAAAGAAATGTCTGATCAAAGGCCTCCTAATATTTYCAGTCAGTATTGAAAGTTTGAGATGAGCATTTGGTAAGTGTAGTTTAGATAAAGAATTTGGAAATGGGCTCTGTATTATTTCTTCCATCCAAATATCTATGTTGGACTGATCAAAACCTGCGTAGTGTCCATGTTTAAAATGGCTGCTTATCTACACCGTGCAAAGGCTGCTCTGTGTACACGCACTGACATTTCCAGAACATCACAACCTATAGTCAGCAATAGCTACTGCTAATTAAGCTAATATCTTTATTGCCTTGTAACTGAAAGCCCAATTTATTAATCAAAGACTTCCAAAAAATCATCACAAAATTGACAGTTTTTAAAACTTTCAAGAAAAGAGTCTACCATAGTTAAGATTATCAAGAAGGGAAATTACACAGGCAGGCTTGCCTACCAAGTCAAAACAAGGCTGATGAAAATGTTTCTCCATAAGCAATGTATACAATTAAATGCAACTCTACATGCATGATGCTTGTTATCTATAATTGGARTTTGATGTACGTCTATCAAAAACTTGGTGTGCCCTGCTATGAAAATATTGTCCTCTAAGTGGGAAAATTGCTGGTTTTCACAGAAATCTAATATGGTCATCAGGAAAACATACAATAATACATTTTTGATTCAAACCTCAGGCCAAAAGGAGCTCTGTTTCTTTTTTTTTTCCCCTTCTTCCCATTTTGGTTGTCTAGAGGGCAAAGAAATTGGCAGGACATTTGCATGATCTCACTAACACTAYGTAGTGTTAGTGCATTGTAATAGCATTATACCATTTACCCGGGGAAGACTATCCTAGCTATCTGTAACACAAAGCATATTGGTGCATAATTCAATTTTAAAAAGCAATTTAAATATATATAGCAATAATTAAATATAATTTAATATTTCTGAACAAGTAGGAAGAATTGAGAGATACTTGTAACATTAGTCTAATTAAAAAAGCTTATTCAAATAAAAAAAACATTCAGTTTGCCATATAAAAAGAAAAACAAGACTATAAAACTTAAAATTGAACAAAAGTTGAAATAGATATGCAAGGAACAGATATGGAAGGAATAGATATGCAAGGAATTCAGATTTATAAATATGAATTCTACTAAACAGAAGAGGGTGTAACCATGCAATTGTATATTTTGGAGAGCCAAAACTTTGAAAGCTAAAGATCAGTGCAGTCATTAGGTCTATTTTTGAGGCACATAAGCACAAAGCTGCTGAGCTCAGCCCACCTTTGAAGGACAGTTCTCTGCTCTTACACAGTCAGTCTGGACTGTCCTCCTGAGCGCTGACCATGCAATGGTCAGAGCAATGAGCTTGGAGCAAAGGTGGCATACGGCACCCCCCCTAGGCAGAGCTTTGCCAGCTGGTTGAGGGAGATGATCCTTCCCCTTTACTCAACACTGGAGAGGGCCAGCTGGAAGTGCTGGGTCTGGAGCTGGGYTCCCCAGTACAAGAAAGAGACAGAAATACTGGAGTAAGAAGTCCAGCAAGAGGTTGCAAATATAACTAAGGGAGTGGAGCGTCTCTCACGCGAAGCAAGGCTGCAGGAGCTAGGACTGTTCAGCCTGAAGAAGGGAAGATTGGGGGGAATCTGACCCGTGTGTAAAAATACATGATGGGAGTGTGTCAAAGGACAGGACCAGACTCTTCTCAGAGGTGCCCAGTGCCAGGACAAGAGGCAACAGGCATAAATAGACAGGAAATTYTGTCTGAACACAGGAAGACACGTTTTTACTGTGAGGGTGGTTTGAGCCACTGGCACAGGTTGTCTTGTGAGGTTGTGAAGTCTCCAGCCTTKAAGATATTCACAAGTGGCTCGACATGGGCCAAGACCCTAAGATGACCCTGCTTGAGAAGGGATGTAGGTCCAGATAAATCCAAAGAGATTCCTTTCAACCCCAGCTGCTTTGTTATTTTGTGAAAATTCTGTGCATTGTGGATCTTAATAAAAGAAGCCCAGCCATCTACCATCATAGATACAGAAGACGATGATAGAGTTAGAGATTTTAATTCATGGATTCCACTGTATCTTGGGAATTTCAGACCAGATCTTGTTTTACATGACTCAAGTTGAATTAAATGAGATCTTGAGATAAAGAAATCATAAGAACCACAAATAAAAATTTGCAGGCATCTATATGCCTGCAAACTAGGACTGATGACATTTACTATAGCTTATTAAGTCATGGAAAACATTTATAGGTAAGTGGTCAAGATGTTTGCACAAGTAGTTTTAAAATAAAGATATGCTTAAGCTGTAGAATTTACCTCCTATTGTTTTTATAGAGCTCCTGACTTTTATTTTCTTCTCATTTTCAATAACCACAACTTCTAAAATATTCACTTTACAACATTTCAACTTTTTCTTTTGTTAATGAAACTTAAGAACTCTCATTACCCACCTGAAGAACATCTCCTAGGTCAGCAGTACTAATATCTGGGTCTTCAGTAGTATTGAAAGGAACAGGGTTAATTCTTACAAGAGTGAGCACTCTGGGTTCTGGATATCTCCATAACATCATTCCCGGACTATCTTCAGTTTCATTGTAAAACACAACTTCATAGGCACTGGGCAGTTTTTGTGCTTCTGTCAAATTAAAGAAAGGTATTATCTGTTATGTAAATTCTAAAGAGAAACATACTGGTTTATGAGACTACAGTAGTTAAAAATAAACCCTCAGGATCAAAAGAGGAGAAAATAAAAAAGCAATTTCCCTGACTTTTAAGATTACAGCTTAATGAATGAAAGAAATCAAAAAAGTCTTTTTTTTCCTTTTTTTTTTTTTCATGCCAGCAGATGTCTTTTCAATTACTTTTTCCCCAAAAAGTAAAGAATTCACTGCAATAGAAAATTAATGCTTAATAGGTTATTAATCTATTTATGCTATAATCAACAAAAATTAACAAGAAAGCAATAATGGTCTTGTTCTTACCTGCATCTTGTATATACTGGAACATGCCTGTTCTCAGATCATCTGAGGTATGCTCAGTTTTGGAGGTSTGATTCCTCTCTCCAGAAGAACAGGTGGGGTAGGTACGCTCAGATACGGAGGAGTTTGCACTGCCGTTTCTAGTGAGGTACTCCTGCAGAAGCTTCTGGAGAAGAACTAAACAGTTCAAATGCTCCTGGCCCCAGAAAACCTGGATGAGGAGAGGAGAGAGAAAAAACRATTATCTACAAATATTTAAACATTTATGAAAAAAATCAAAAAATCCAAAGGGTATATTGCATTTTGATTGCTCTACTTACACATATTTTTTTTGTGTGCAAATATCTTCAATGTGAACACAAAGAAACAAAGAAAAAAATTTACAGAAACACTTGGCATTTTTTTTCATCATCGTAAAGGAAAATGTTAATTCTTACCACTTAAGATTAAAATACACTATATAAACCCAGGGCCAGCCAAAGTTTTCACAGTTCAAGATGTGACAAAGGATCTTAGAGACAAAAAGATAAAACTACTACAAGAGCATATTGCTCGAAAATTGGCATTTTGGAGTGCAATAACAAATAATAAGCAACAAAGAGAAAAAGATAAGTAGAAGGACATTGAAGATCACAATGAAGTCACAAACACTGAGTATACCCAGACTATGAACTAGATGTATTGCAAACTCTGGCAGGCCACCTTGAAGTTCAAACACTTTCTGCACCGTTATTGATAAGCAGTGTTACTTTTCTCAAATCAAACTCTTTTTTAAAGAATGCAATGAAAGAGGAGGAAACACATCTGTCGGAAGGTAGGGAGGTATGTGGTCTAATCCTGAATTAGGRAGTAGAACTGAGGGTAAACATGGAAGTACCACTGAAGGTAAATATTGCGAGTAGGACTGGGGGTAGACATRGAAGTACCACTGAGGTTAGACATTGAGAGTAGGACTGAGGGTAGACATGGATGTACCACTGAAGGTAAAAAATGGCAGTATGACTGAGGGCAGACATTGGGAGTAGGAATGAGGGTAGACATTGGGAGTAGGAGTGAGGGTAGACAAGGAAGTACCACTGAGGGTAAACATTGGCTCATTGGACTCAGGATAGACATGGAAGGTAGACATAGGTAGATATGAGGGTAGACATAGGGACTAGAATTGGGGGCAAACAGTGAAGTATCCCTGAGGGTAGACATTGGAAGCAGCAGTGAGGGTAGACACTGGGAGTAGGAGTGAGGGTAGACATTGGGAGTAGGAGTGAGGGTAGACCTGGAAGTATCACTGAGGGTAGACCTAGGAAATAGGATTGAGGGTAGACATGGAAGTACCACTGAGGCTAGACCTAGGGAGTAGGACTGAGGGTAGACATGGAAGTACCACTGAGGGTAGACCTAGGGAGTAGGACTGAGGGTAGACATGGAAGTACCACTGAGGGTAGACCTAGGGAGTAGCAGTGAGGGTAGACATGGAAGTAGGGCTGAGGGTAGACCTAGGGAGTAAGAGTGAGGGTAGACATGGAAGTACCACTGAGGGTAGACATTGGGAGTAGGACTGAGGGTAGACATGGAAGTACCACTGAGGGTAGACACTGGGATTATGGCTGAATGTAGACATTGGGAGTAGGACTTAAGGCAAACATGGAATCACCACTAAGGTGAGATATTGGGAGTCGGAGTGTGTACATCGTGAGTACCACGGAGCACAAACCTTGTGGGTGCGACCGAGGGTAAACATGGAAGTACTGTTAAGGGTATATAGCGGGAGTAGGACTGAGATTAAAGATGGAAGTACCACTGAGGGGAATTGGGAGTGTTCACTGAGCATAAATAAGGGGAATATTAATGAAGATTAACAGGGAGAGTAGGAATTAGCTTATATGGTGGTTAAAAAGGCAGGTTAGGAGTGATAGAATTATTAGAATCTCATAGATTTTTGAAACTCTTCAAGTTTACAAAGAAATCCTTTTTAATTTGCTTTATACATTTCCCTAAGAGTTTTCCATTTTTCTTGTAAATTTTTACTGATTCAAGGTAAACTTATTTCGAGTCATGGAATTCAAAGAAAATCATCGTCCTGTTTTAGGACATCTCTTGTATTTTAGAGAGAAACTGGTGTCCCTATTTCATATCACCGTCATTTCTGTCACTACCTTCCAGATGCCCATCCTCAAGGTTTGTCTAAACATGGTTTTCCCTGAGAGCAGGGCCCCACAYTGGTGCCTTCACCACCCTCTTCATGCCCTCTTGTTGTMCTCTCATTGCCTTTTAGTGTTTTTCTCGATTCACTTTCTCATTCCATCAGTTTATAGAATTACATCCATTTATCTCRGAAAAGAAAATAGCGTGTAGGCCCACTCCCAAGTACTGCTGCTTCATTTCTTCTTGTTTTCATTATGTTTGAATTGTTTCAGGTCTTTGTAACATTTGTCTTAAGCAATGTCTACACTCAGTGTTACTTCCATGTCTACCCTCACTGCTACTCCCAATGTCTACCCTCAGTGTTACTTCCATGTCTACCCTCAGTCCTACTCCCTGTCTACCCTCAGTAGGCCTAAAGCTTCTAGACTCTACCGTAATTTAAATTAGAACTGGTAGAAAAAGTAGAAGATGAGGTTGTACTTGGAGTTGGCAAAATATTTAGCTGTAAATAAAWTTATTTGAAAAAGAACTTCTAATACTTCTGTGAGCATTTTCAGGGCTGTTCTGTCTCGCCAAATACCTAAGGCATATAGATTTGTTTCTCGACTGTGTCTAATAATGGGAAAAAAAATGAACTAAAAAATTAATTATAATAATATCTAAATATGGCTAGCCAAATACCTGGAGATTACAAATGAGGAGGAAGTAGAGAAGCAAATTGGCTTTATTTACTCATTAAAAAAATATATATTTTTTCATATTATTAAACTAGCCCCATTCCAAATGCTGTGGTTTGAAGAACTTCTTCTGATGTCARTTCTGGGAAAAGGTCTAATTACATGACTAAATGTCAAATTTTCCATTTTGCATTTTATATGCTTGGTTTATTTATTTATTTTAAAACATTTGGTGTGTATAGATACTACAATAAAAATGATTAAAACAAGACACATATTTTAAAGCCCACTTAAGTCCCACAGAATGTATTTTGCAGTTCAGGAACTCCCATGCTTCTTGGACTGGTTTCAAGTTATGGGCACTTCCAGTAAGAAGAGGATAGCATGGAAAACTGTGTATTAATTGCTACAAACAATAGCTAATAAACACTCCACTGAGAATTTTGTGCGAGTTTGAAAAGAAAGGATGTATATTTCTTAAAACTACCCCTAGGCATCACCCATACGTAGCTCATGGACAGAAGAAGACAAAGACACTCATCAGAGCAGAGTCCTGAATATTAAGTGCTAGTAATCTGATCCAGTACTTTTAAGGGAACACACACATACAGCTACAGTATATGGCCTAAACAGCATCTAAAAAAAAAYCACCACACACAATTTTTCAATCAACAGTTCTGCATAAAAGGATAGATAATTATATTAAAAATATTAAAAAATAATGAAAAAAGAGCTTAGCAAACTAGTTTAGGCTGTAAAGCTTCAGAGCATTATTTTTTAAGAAAACTTTAGAAAAAGCTTTTTAGAAAAGCCTCAGCTTTTTAGAAAAGCCTGCAAAGCCAAAGCAGCCCATACAGACCTGCAGCAGTCCCCCCCTCAGGTGGAGGTGCAGCTTGGGCACAGACTGCTCGGGCCCGGGGTCCCCRCTGTGCTTGCACCACTTGGCTTCCACGTGCACTGAGCAGCAGAAAGGGCCGAGCAGAGGTCTGGCTCTTTCCTTGAGGCTTGTCTTAAGTAGGAAATCTTTCAAGTCAAGGACAAGAGATGATCCATGAATCCCTGAAAAGAGGAGAAAGAGACTATTTATTCTTGTATCTTTTTTCTCCCAATATTTCTGGGCCTACTCACTCACCAACTTTAGGTGGAGCTCCGTGAAGAGCTCTCCAGGAAGAGGATCGTGATTTGGCCCCAAGACTTTTCCTTTTTTTTCAGCTCACTCTTCCAACAGGATTTTGTGCCCTTTATTACAGTGTTCCAGGCAGGGAGCAGGTACGTTTCATGCACATTCCTTACAATGAGCTATTTGCCAAGACATTATGACTTCTACATGTGTGAGTATTTTAAAGTTTATGAGAAGAGTCATTTTTCATTAAACTGTGATTTTTTTAAAAAGAGTATATTAAGAATAAGAACAGCTGCTTCACTTGATTATATTTTAAACTGATAGGAAATGGCTATTTCGAACAGGTCTCTCTCCTATTGTTGGAGTTGATTATTATAAAATACTGCTTTTCTAGACTTTGGAGTACACAGAAGGAGAATAAGGGAAATATTTGAATTCAAAAAATTCACAACAATTACTGTAGCTCAAAATACATGTTTACCCCCAAATTAGTTTAATCTAAAGTTTTTACATCATAACCATTTACAGCTGACATAGTTTTATGAAACAGAGATAATAACAAGTTAGATTTATGAGTGCACTTAAGTATTCTCCCAATAAAGAAGACAAATATTTTAAAGAAAGAAACACCATGTAGAAATGGCACCTCTCTCATGAATTTACCTTACTGCAAATCACAATTTAATATAATAAATCACACTATCTTCTTATTCTTTTGTATATTAACTTGAAAAATATTACATCTGAGTCCAGACTTTATTTTTTCTCCTTTGCAGCCCATATCTGGAATCAACATTCTGAATATTGAATGTAACCATACCTGCTTTATAATGCCCATGGCTTATTTTTCTGACGACACTGTATATTTATAAAACATGCAAGATTAAAAAACACCTCAGGCAGACATACAGATGGTCCAAGGTATTGCTCCATTTTGACTTTTCATACCTTTGCTGATAGAAATGTGCCACTAAAGTAGAACGCTCTGCTTTGAATACATTGCAGTATTCTCCTATTTCTTTCAGACAACTCTCTCCTACAAGCCAGAAAAAAAACAGGCCTGCATCCTGGGATGATTCCATAATACTAGGAAATAATTTATGTACTGGAAGGAAATATATGGGAACCATTTTTGTTTGTTTGGAGCACCCATCACCCACGAGCAAGGTGGTCCAACAGTCCCAGCAGCTTTAATGTTGCCAGTGGATTGACTTTAACTCGAGTAGAAATAACAAGCAAGAACAATATTTCCCTGAACAATTTGGACTTTAGTAAGGGTGATTMTGTCCTCAAGCAAGGACTTAAAACCTTAATTGAAAATTGAAATGGGAGAAATTTTGGTAAGTACTGCCCAATTCTGCCATATGCAGATATGGTCTATAGCTGCATTGGACTGTATGCCAACCTGAAGGAAATAACAAAAAGCGAGAAAAGGGATAGCAGAATTCATGTGGTTTTATTTGTACATTTTCCTTCTCTGGTGTTGCATGTGGAAGAATTGCATGGATACTGTTTTGCAGCCTTTTTCTGTTGTCATCTAATCTCCACAAAATACAATGAAAACACAATGTATGAYGCCTTAAAAACAGCACTGAGCATTCGGTGCATAGTCCTTTTGGTTAGACATCAGCAGTACTTTTTTGAAAACCAAGTGAAGAAAAGAAGAATTTTGAGTGAATTTGAAAGAATTCTATATTATAAAACATCTCCATGGATTATGGAGATGGATCCATAATCAATGGATTATGTCCATGGATTATATACCAAGTAAAGCCCAGAGACCCAATGATAGTTGTATTCTTTCTGCGATACAGATTCTACTGTCTAATGGCAAGAAGGACACAATCCTCCTTCTCAACAGATACATCCACATACTTCCTTGGGGATGAAGTGAATCTTAGTATATAAACTTATTTCTTTTAGAAAAGAAATAAGCTCACATCCTAAGGGCAAGGAGTGAAGAAATGGCAGTATGCACTATGAGCTTACTTTGCTACAGGCTCCGCTAGGGAAGTTGCTTTCCTGTGACTACAGCAGTCAGCTTGGAAAGGTAAAGATGTAAACTAATTCTCCTCTGTTTCTTTTTTTCCTCCTCCACACTGTTTTCAGTCATTTCTTCCATGCATCTCTCACAAACATCTATTGTAGAATTCTGACTTCAGTTTAAACAGATTAAATCAAAGTCTCCGTTTGAAGTGAACTTGGGATGGCACCACAAAGAAGCAATATATCTTCATAAACGATTGTTGTGATATGTAGAAGTTAACTTGTTCTGTTTGGATTATTGCTCATGAACACCAACACACTTCTCGGTACGTGCAATAATTTACTTCTAGGAACAAATAGTTTCATGACTTTTAAAATACTCCTCCAAGAGACTAATAAATACGAACCACTTGCTTTGGACACTGTTTAAAAACTGCTGCCAACCCCTTCAACGTGAGGCTCCCTCCAGATCCCCACTCGGATCTGCTGCCCTTCTTGTGGAGCAAAATACCATTCCCATCAGGCTTCCGTGTGTCACTGTAGAGACTACCTTATGGTGACATATGCTTTAAGGGAATATCCAGGTAGTTTTATACAGCTGGAAATCATGTAGGACTGTATGAAAAACTGCTAGCGCTTGCTCAGTAATACAACGAAATTAACTCGTATAAAAAATGAAGAGGGAGACCAYTGCAAGAGAAGAAAATTTCCTAACAGATGCCAGCTTTGATGTTGTGTCACTCTTAATTTTTTATTATTACTGACTTTACTTAGGCTAACATAAACATTATGAAGCCATCTCGCAGAAGCTGAGCAGCCTAATACGAGGATGTTAGGGTTCCTGGTAGCAAGAGGCTCTGTGATAGCTGGAGGTCTGGGTGCACATGTGGGTAAGTGCATTTGTCTGCATGTGCGGAAAAAAAAWGAAAAAGAGCTGTCCCACTTTAAAAAATCTAGTGAGTAACATAAAGTAAAAACAATCCTTGCTTTAAGTAACAATCACTTAGCATTTAGGCAAAACAAGTGTTAAGAAAATGCTCTTTTACTCTTYCTGCTTCACAGACAAGGGGAAAGACAATATTTTGACCTTAATATAGACTTTTTGTTTTCAAAAACATTTAAAATATTTGAATTCACTGTGAATGAAGCAAGCTGAAATGCTGCAGAGCACCTTTTCCCTTCTCTTATGCTCTGCGTACTCCTGTGTGCGCTTTGCTCTTCTTAGATAGATGCAGATCTGTTTGGGTTTGACTGCACTCTCACACACTACAAGACAGAGCACTACTTTAGCTGGTAGACCTCTATATAGGAATATACTTCTTTTTTTTTTTTTTTTTTTTTTTTTTTTTTTTTAAAAAAAGGGCAACAAATGTATCATGTAAAGCAAATCCCAGTAGACTACAGGAAGGTTGTATTTGAAAAGCCTCTTGAAAGCTTTGCTACAAATTGCCTCTCCAGGAAGCAAAAGGATGGGGCAGTTCAGAAGAAGAGCGTGTCCCAAGGTCCCTCCGGCTCTGGCCGGGAAGCCTGGGAGCAGCCAACGGATCAGACCAGATTCCCATCCAAAGAGCTGGGGCACCTGGGGAGCAGCAGCTCAGCTCGTCCGTTTGCCCTCCATGGCAGGACAGCAAAGGGATGATGTGACTRCAGAGGGTTAATTAACCAACAGGTTTCCTTATTCACTTCCACTTGAATATCCCCCATCACAAGCATCATCAGGCGATGGTGCTATTTGACTCCGAGCAGGCATTCCTCATATTGTACCTTGGCAAACTTTTTACACATATTTGCACCTTTAACTATTAAAGTTGCCACAGAAACTAAGACAGCTTTAAATACATATACATATTACTATATGTTACATTAGATTTAATTATCCAAATGAAACTTTTCCTTCTTTTGAAAACTTCAGGTGCATTAAGTCCTAAGAGGTTGCAAGGAAGTTACATGGCTTACAGCTATCCTCTAAGAAGAAGCTCCGGAGAGAAAAGGGTAACAAAGCTTTGAATTGCAGCTGTTAAAGCAATTATAGGGGAAAGAGTGCAGTTAGTTTGAAAGCCAGCCCATCTACCCAGGGCGGTAAGGCAGTAGCAAATACATGGGAAAGCTGCTCTAGTAAAGGACAAGTCTCCAACACAGCCGCCCTTCCCAGAGCAGGGACTTCGCTGGGTTTCTCATTAAGGTCCAGAGGAATCTTGCGATAGCTCATTCCTCCCTGAGGACAATCTTTATACATCACCAATTAGCAATCCTTGACTAAAAGAGTTTTTTCAGCACTGCATAGGGACACGTGGGCTCTGTGAAAACGCGAGATGTGTAACACACGGTAAACAGAAAGCCGTGATCTTAAACAGGCCAAATCCTTGAATTCGTCACTAATAAATGTCCCCATGCATCCAGCAGTCCTGGCTGCTGGGAGCTTGTTTTCTTCAAATACTTCAAACACTAAAATCCAGGAACATTTATTATTTTAATCCACTACAGGCAGTGCTTGATTTAACTTTATTGGTTGTGGTGGTGGTAGTGGTTATAGTGGGGGTAAAGCTATGTTCTTTTACACATCATTTCAAAAGGCCTTAATTATATTTTATAGCTCAGGCCAGGAATCCTGCTTGTTTTGTGTCTAACAAGGTTCAAATGGAGTTCAGGTCAGTGATGAATCAGAGGAGAAGTCAAAGATGGTTATCTATTTGAAATGAGCTCATCTCCCTTAAAGAAAAGCTGGGCAGGTACATTGTGTTCATTACACTACTGAATACCAAAGAGCTGAAAAATCTCAATGCACTTGCTGATTTGCTAGTTCTGGATTCTGTGATGCCTGACCACAGAGGGTACATTAAAGTTTAGATCTAAAGGGATTTTCCTTGTTGGTCAAGACTGCATTAGGTATAGAATAATTAGGGATAATTGCAAAGCATAACTGCACTTATTCTAATTATGTAGAGAAAAA